TGGCCTCCAACGGCCTCCAACCTAATGGCGATGGCCTCCAACGTGATGGCGATGGCCTCCAACGTGAGCGATGGCCTCCAACGTGATAGCGATAGGACCGCAGTAAGGCACTTGTTACTACTAGTAAGGCAATTGTTACTACTAGTAAGGCACTTGTTACTACTAGTAAGGCACTTGTTACTACTAGTAAGGCACTTGTTACTACTAGTAAGGCACTTGTTACTACTAGTAAGGCACTTGTTACTACTAGTAAGGCTCTTGTTACTACTAGTAAGGCACTTGTTACTACTAGTAAGGCACTTGTTACTAGTAGCTTCGTGTTACTAGTAGTAAGGCCCTTGCTCCTAGTAGCGATGCCTTTGGTTCTGTGGATTTAGACCTCGATCCGATGTCCCAGGTCGTAGCTATGCTGAGACGCGTGAAAAAGAGCGGGCTGTTTGGGCCGCACGAAACGGTCACGCAACGAGGGTCACGAAACTTGCGAAATACGAACCTTCTGACTCTGGCTTTGGTGCTGCTGCTTGCAGCTTGCAGAGTCTCTTGCGCTTGACCTGACAAGTCAGCTCCTGAAGATTGCGATCAGATTGCGATCATCCAAGTCCAGACTCTTTACGTTCAACTGCTTGGGGCAACCTTTACCCTGCCATGACTGGGTCAATTCGTCCGGTTTCCTTCGGCGTGTTTTGGGTCCAAGCCGTTTTGGGTCCAATTCTGATCGGCACGAGCTGCCTCACGTCCGAAAGAATGGAAAGATCTGGTTAGCATGGCAGTCCGGAGGTCAGCTTATTTGTTTAGAAGGGGAATGCATTGAAGCAAAGATCAGACAGCAGTGTGCAGTGTACTAAGTACATCTGAGTACTACTTGTAGGAGTCATTAGGAGTGGCAGGAATGATATGGAATGATGGAACTGAAGTGGTCCGGAGAATTTGGAGCAAACCGCCCGTCCCGACCCTCACGAAGCCATGCCCAAAGTGTCTGCCATATATGCTGCTGCCAGATGTCAGCCTAGCACAGCGCTGGTCCAAGGTGGCAGTTCTGGCCACTGGGCAAATCAAAGCGAAAGCGTAGCGGTCCCAAACCATCGAGACGCACATGCGTTTCTCCCCGATCATGGGCGGTTGATCGTCGTTCTCTCCCAAAGGACGTAAAGAAGTTGAAGGAGAAACACGAAGGACATGATCCCTCCAAAATCGGTAGAGAGGGAAGCGAGTTTGCTCTCCTTTGAGTGGTTAATGTCTAGCTGGCATCGCTGCGACAAGTTTCTGTCCTTTGGAATGCTGCGCTGGGCTTCATTGACCAGGTGCCCCAGTGAAATGTGCTCGATTCCAAGTGCAAGTGGAGACTCATGAAGTGCTGGAAGGACGCTGTTTGAGCTTTTGAGCTTGGCAAATTGGGTTTCAAGAGAAGCGCACACGTTGCGGTTGCCGTGACAAAGCTCCATTTGAATGTGCAACTAATTATATGAATGTAGTAGCTTCTTGTTCCTAGTAGTAAGGCCAGGAGCCCCTAGTAGCGTTTTGTTCGTAGTAGTAAGGCCAGGAGCCCCTAGTAGCGTCCTTGC